AGGGACAGTCATTTGGAAAGGCTACTGCAGAGTCCAGGTGAAAGCTGAGCATGAAGCTGGGAGCTGAGGAAGACGTGGGGTGAAAGAAACAGGCCAGAGAGCTACAGTGATCATCCTTAGTGCACAAGGCTATTGTTACAGCCTGGTGTCCAACCTGACTTAATGCCAAAAGTAGAGTCTGCCATCAAAAAATTGCTTTCAGAGGCTGGGATGTTCCTCTGGCAGAGCACTTGCCTGCCACGCACAAGGCTATGGGTTTGATCCCCAGCAACACACACAAGATTGCTTTCACATCCTTTCTCAGGCACCCCATAGATTCTATTCTATAGGGAAGTCAGAGTCTGAGAGGTCAGAATTCATTTGGTAAGCAAAGTAGAACAGGAAACTGCAACCCCTGGCCAGAGACCAAGCAAAGAGAATCAGTTCAGTGAGGTACTACATGTTCCACCGCCCCCCACCCCATCCTCAAGGAGTTCACAGTCTCCTTGACTATGAAGAGAAGCAAACACACAGAAAAACTCCAAACCAGGAGGACAGACATGGCTAGACCAGAAGAATCAGCAAAGATCCACAGCACCAAGAGAAGGGTGTAGTTACAGCTGAAATCAGTACCATGACTTTATCATGGACTCTAGAATAGGAGTCCGAGTGAGGAAATTGGGGTCCTAATGTCACCAGACAGGGGTGCAGGGAGTTCCCTCCAAAGAAAAGAATGGTACCTCATCCTGGCCCAGGCTCATTCTGGATTTTTGCCATTTGAAGTTCTAGGATGTATCAGAAGTAAGGCACAAGCGAAGATTTATTTAAGGACAGCAAAGGTGTATGTACCCAATAAGCACATGTCCTCTCAGAGAAGAGAGATGAGTGAGGTGCCCTCAATTGACTATATATGTGATTTTTCTGGGAAGAAATATGCAGGTTCTCAGCAAGCTTCTCTGAAAATCAAGTTGTGTGACATTGATTTGATAATTGAGGTTCAGAATGTTCCTCTTAGGTTAAGATGTCTAGCCATATATCAGTTGTAGGCACACTGTGTAAGTCTTCAAATCTGGTGACACTTAAATTAATTATGTTTTTATTCTAGTTGATCCATTCCAAACATATGCTATGTTCACCTAACTAGAAGGACAAGCATGACTGGTCATCTTGTTGCCATCTACTAAAGGTCTCTTTTCCTCTCTCCCTAAGAGCCCACCTACCTCAGAAGGAAGAAAGAGATTCCGTAAAGGACACCTGATGCTGCTCCAGGGCCCAGCCTGGTGCCCAGATCTCCCACTTCTGCTACTTGGTCCTATAGGAAAGCTTGGGCCCAGCTCAGTCATCAAATTGACAATGGTGCTGGGACACCTTAGAGAAGCCAGAGTAGCAGCATTCCTGGGTCCTTCACTTGGCACCAGCCTGGAAACAAGTAGAAAAACCATAGCCTGCATACCTGAGGGTGGGGTCAAGGACCGAGGGGGCCGGGAGCAGTGGAAGTGGTGCTATGGAAGAGCCATTTTTGTTCGTCCAGGGTTCTGGGAACTTTGGTAACCCAGTCAGGATGTGATTCCAGGAAGACCCTATCAACATTCCTGTCGGGGAATGTTCTGCTCCCCATTCCTGGCTTGAGTGAGCCTGTATCTGGCTCACTGTAGCTAAAGTATAAGATCAGGGCTGAGGTTGTAGCTCAGTGGCAGAGTGCTTGCCTAGCATGTGTGAGGCACTGGGTTTGATCCTTAGCACCATATTCAAATAAAATAAAGGCATTTTGCCATCTACAACTACAAATTTTTTTTAATAAATAAAGTATAAGATCAGAGAGCTGAACCCCAGACAGTAGTCACATTATGCAAGTGTACACTCACTGTCGGGAGTCCCTTAGCTTCAGGGCTAGAATCTTATAGTGCAAGAAGAATTGTCTTTTTGGCTCTACAGGAACATTGATTCTTAGGTGAGTTGACAATTGAAAAAGTACTGGAAAAGAAAAAAAAGACTGAAAGGGATCTAGAATTTTTCCAGTCCAAACTTTAATTCACATGGCCCTATACTGCTGCGGGTAGGGTCTGGGCTTGGGATTCAAATCAAATCAAGGTGTTTGATTCTGCCAGTTTTCCTCATTCCACATGGATTTGTGAGCCTATCACATTCTAGGAAATGATCAGCTGTGTGACCTCAAGTAGACAACTTTTAAAAACTTGATTCTCATCTGGGAAATTAAAAATAATGTGTACCTCCTGGCCTATTGTCAAAATTAGATGAAATAGGTAAATCATAAACAGCCCACAGAGAATATCAACTCTGCACCTCAGCAGAGGAGGGGAGCACTTTAAGGGAACCTGCATTTCTGGACTGGTCTCACTGGTAAGATTGGGCATCCCTGACCCACTTGACCTGGGGCCCTGAACTTGCCTCTGACTTGTTTTGTTCTCCCCAGATTCTTGGCCAAGCATTCGGCACTTCTGGGCAGAGGACACAGCAAAAGCAGAAACAGCTCCTTCCACAGCTGACCTGGCATGACTTGGGCTGTTAGTTGAGGGGGACAAAAGTCACTCAAGTATCTAGTGATTGATCAAACTCATGTTATTTGTCTCCCAGTGGTATTTCCACACAGTCTTTGCCACTGTTAGTTACATCATGTCCAGATCTTATTTGCAAAGGAATGGGCAAAGATAGATTTCTCTCCGCTATTGAAAAAACCTGGGGTCCATTTCTTCCATTGAAGAAACTAAGCCCTTCCTAGGACCATCTGGGCTCACACAACTCATTTCCTTGAAGGATGTCTCAAAATGACTCCTGGTATCCTGACTTTATCTCCTAATGATGGCTCACAAACTCACCACTAGTGATCAAAACTTGAGAAGGGATGAATTTACTAAAAGCATATAAGGAGGGCCAAAAAGACAGGCAAAGCTTCCAAAACAATACTCAAAACCCTGCTGTACAGTGTGTGAGAAGGAAGCTTAATGCCACAGAACTCTCATGCAACTGTTGTGTGCTACCAGGAACTCACCTCCCCATGACCGTCACTACAGCCACAGTGGACACCCAAAACAAGTCACAGGTCTCTGCATGCTTCTTCCTTGCATGTATCATCTTTAATTCAAAGTCCTGTCTCTGCCCTGACCAGTGAACTACACACACAGGCAAGTTTTGATTGTTTGTTGATATTGGGACTTGAACCCAGGGACAATTTACTACTGAGTTACATTCTTTTATTTTCTATTTGGAGATAGGTTCTTGCTAAATTCCTTAGGGCCTCACTAAGACGCTGAGGCTGGCCACAGACTTGTGATCCTCTTGCCTCAGCCTCCCTAGTTGCTGGGATTACAGGCATGCACCACTGCACCAGGCCTAAGGCAAAGCCTTTAGTAGCCATCTTAGAAAAGTAAGACTTCTAATGTGGGAACATTTCCAGGTATTAAATGGGTCACAAACTCAAATACAGGGAGGAACCAGACAGGTCTCTGGAGAGTACCCCTTAGGCATTCAGGTCAAAAATGTTAAGATGATGTGAAAATGATGATAAGAGTGATAAGTGATTGTAGTGATGGTGCTGAGGAATTGACTACAAAGGGGCAAGAGGGAATTTTCTAGCATGAGGGAAATGTTCTGTGTCTTGCTTTGGTTGGTGGTTACATGATGTATGTAGTGTATACATTATTTGGTGTATACATTCACCAAATGAGTAGTTAAGATCTGTTCATTTTACAATATATTAAGTATACCTCATTTTTTTTAAACTTGGGGCAAGTTAATATGTCTGTCTATCTGTATATTAATTTGGCCATCAGGCTACCCATTTCCAAGTTTCTGTTACAATCTTTATCTCACATATGAGGAATCAGAGACCTTGAGTAGGGAAACAAGGGCACAAGTGAATGGTGACTTTTGGCCAGCTCCTCAGCCTGGGGAAGGTAGACTGTGCGGTCTAGGAGCTGCGTCTAACTGCGCAAACTCCGTGCATTTGAAGAGTCAGTCGCAGTGCTAACCCAGCCTTTCCACCCGCTGGGAGGAAGGCGTTCCCCAGGGACTGGGCAATTGTCTGCCTGGCCAGAAAGTGAGACAGTCACTAAATACCTACCCCAAGGAAAGCCGAAATGAATGGAATACGCATCCCTAGGGAGTATTGGCCAGGCGCGCAGATAAATCACAAACTGCACTGACAGTTTGAGATTAGCATTGAGTGCCAAATGCCGACACAGGCAACCAAGTTCCAGGAAAAGAAATCCGATCTGAGAGAGGCGACCGCGGCGGTGCAAAGCGAAATCCACAAGAGAGGCCGGGCAGAGACCAAATCTTGATGGAGCCTCCTCTTGGGGCGAGCACCTAGGCACTTATCGAAGTCTTACCTGGTCACCGGTCTACCCCAAAAGGTACCGCTATACAGGTGAAAAAACTCAAGGCTCCTGCAGTTTACAGTACTATCCAAAGTCTGAGTTGTAATCTCAAACCCAGTTCTTTGACTCCACGCCCGAGATCCTTCCTCTCCTCCGCCCACTGGGGAGTAGGTCTCTACAGAGTGACTCCCGCCCATCCCAAAGCGACTCGTCCCGTGATTCGATGCAGGTGCTGCACGCCAGAGGGAACTGGAGGAATGCTGGGCGCCCGGGGTGGGGGTGGGGAGGTTCTGTAGCCAAATCCTCGGCCGCACAACCCGCCGGGACCTTCCGGACGCCGGGAGCAGGGCCCTCCAGCCGGCGCCCGCCCTGATTGGCGCTCGGGGTCGGCCTCCAGCTGGCTCACCTGCCACTCTCAGCCAATCGAGGACACCAGAATTAGGGCTGTCACCGAGGGAGGGGGAGATGCTGCGGACGCGCGTCTGAGCTGCCCTCCCCGCGGAGTTCCCGCCAGGCCCGCGGCAATCCCGAGCCTAGTCCCAGCCGCCGGCTGCCAGCCCCGCGGCCCTCATCACCGAGCTCGGTGCCCCGCGCGCTTTAATGCAGCAGCTCCAGCCCGGGCCTGCTCGGCATCTCCGCTTGGTGGGACGCGCCCCGACGGTGCCCCGAGTCGTCTGCGAACGCCACCCCCATTGCCTCCCACCGTTCACCCGGTCCCTGTCGGCCCCCGGGGAGAGCGTGGGCCCGGCCGGGGTCAGCCCGACTGAGGCAGGATGTTCACGTCCAAGTCCAACTCCGTGTCGCCCTCGCCGTCCCTAGAGCAGGCCGACTCCGACGCGCTGGACATCAGTACCAAAGTGCAGCTCTACGGGGTGCTGTGGAAGCGGCCCTTCGGGAGGCCGTCAGCCAAGTGGTCCCGGAGGTGAGTGCGTCCCCAGAGCCCCACCACCACCACCGGGGAAGGGAGCTCCCGGTCTCAGGACACCTCCCATCACTTCCAGTCACTGTCCCGCCTCTGCCTTCCTCTGTGACCTTGATCTTGCTCCGTTTTACTCTGCACCGGCTCCGCATGAAAGATGTGGATCTTAGCTGCTAGAGCTGGAGTGGGACCACCCGCCTGGGGGAGGTAGTGGATTCTCTGTGAAATAAACTGAGTCCCTAGTGGGGAGCCTGGGTGTGGGCTGAGATCAGGGCTGTATCAGATCAAGTTGTGCCAGACTGTGCCTCCAAAGAGAAGCCCCATCTTCAGCCACAAGACACCTTTCCGGATCTTTACTGGCAAACTCATTTTCCACACCCAGGTCTAGAGTTGCTGGCTAGAGGTGGAACACTATTGAGCCAGGTTCTGACTTAGGCCAGGAGAGAGAGAGCAGGGCCTGGAAAAGTCTGTGCCATCCCCACCTGGATGGCGGGGGGATACATTGGTTCTGCTCAAAGGACTGATCCTTTGGAAGTGGTGGTGGATGGAGAAATCCACAGCAGCCCCAGCTTCCTTCAGCACCAGCTTCCTCATCCTCCCTCAGAGAGTACTCCCCAGAAGTCAATAGCCACTTTCCACTAACAAATGGCCTGGGAGGTTTTGGTATTGGGACAAGGGGAATCTTATAGCTCTGGGCTTGCAGGAAGCTCCCAAAACTGGCCTCAGGTGCCATGGGCCATCTTCTGCACAGTTTTTATCCTCAAGCCAACTTTGGTTCTGAGATTTGCTACTTGTATGGCCTAGAGAACTTTAGACCCTGTCACAGCCCCTCCCTGGAGGTTGTGACCCTTCCAGGAAACTAGGGGTGCATCTATATACCCTTTCCCCATCCTATACCAAGAGTCTATCCCGAGCAGAGGGGCCTCAGATGTTCTTAGGATCACAGATCATATTCTGATGTTCAATTCTGATGAATAATTTAATATTCCTATAAAACTGCAGAACAAATGAAGCTGTGGACAGCATTTCACATTTTCCATACCCGGTTTTATGTATTTTTATTACTTTTGACAGATTTCTGAGATTTAATGTAATATGCACTCCCTGAGTTCCTCCAAAATTCTTACCTCTGGTGCTCTTAATGGAGGTTTGCAGCAGCACGAAGATTGTATGAGGGGGCTTCCAGGGTTGAACTGCTTGAGCTGTAGCCGCTGAGGGTGGGGAGCAGCTTGTCTCTGCTTGGGCTCTTGAGTGGGGGTGGGAAGTCTTCTTGAGATGCAAGTGCCATTAGCAGAATGTCCCCTCCCCTCTTCTGCCTCAGCTGCTCCAGGCAGCAGACACTCCTCTCCACTGGGTCTGGCTGCTGGCCCAGGTATTGCCTCTGAGTCTTGCCAGCCAAGACTTTTCTTGCCAGGTATTTTCACCTGATTGCATCCAGTAAATGCTAGGTGTCTGGGACCCCCAGCTCATGTCCCCTGGGCCCCCTTACCACTATAGTTACAGTAGGGACCTGGACCCACAGTTGATTTGGGGGCTGAGAAGCATGCAGGGTAGACTCCCCAATTTAACCACAGTGATATGTTTGGGGTACCCAGAGAATCTCATCAGTGAACCCCACAGCCACCGTAAAAAACATCCAGTCTAAATCAGAACAATGCATGTGACCCACAAATACAGCTCCAAGTCTAGCCCTCTAACCCCCTTAGAGAAGATTTTCACTTCCTTCCTCTGGAGCTGCCACTGGGAAAAGACTCCCACTCCTCGGGGCTCAGGAAACCTGCCCACACTAGGCCTCTGTCCATGACCTCTGTTTCATGCTCTGGAACTATCTCTCTCTCTCTCTCTCTCTCTCTCTCTCTCTCTCTCTCTATATATATATATATATATATATATATATATATATACACACACACACACACACACACACACCACAGATTTAGCCTTGAGTCGCAACAGCTAGCCTGGGTGGGTCTGGGGAGTGGGGGAGGCCTGATGATCCACTTAACCCCCTCTTGCTTCCCAGCAGGGCCCCCTGCGCCCCAGTTTGCCATTTGTGAGGTGGAGTCTCTGGACCTCAGCTAATTAGCAGCCAGGGGAAGCTTGGGAACAAGGCAGCTCTGGCCTGCCACTGCAGAGCGGTCGATGCCCTGGCGGGGCAGCTAAGGAGAGAGGGCTTGGAAAGGCTCTGTCAGTACTGCATAAATAATGAGTGGGCAGGATAGAACTGCCTGGGGCTGGCTGGGTTCTATAAACCCTCTTCCCCTGGGGCCTGCCTTAGGAAGCATGCCTCCAGCCCCCACTACCCAAGCAGCCCTTCCTTCCTGGGGTGGGAGGACACCCTGAGCTCAGTCCAATCCACATTCTATTCTTCCATAAGCAACAGAAGGGGAAGGGAATCAAAAGCATTAGTTAGCAGAGGGAAGGGAATCTGGGGAGGTATTTAGAGGGTGATTCAATAACTCTGTCCTCATCTTAAGCTGTGAGCAGTGGTGATGCAGGTGCCCAGATGTAGGAAGCTCTGAGACAAGGGGAACAGATTAGGGAGTCCCAGCTTCAGCCAGGGTCAGCTCAAATAGCCAGAGGCTTCTCAGATTCAATACTTCATCCAACACTCTAGTCCCTCTCCCAAATGAATGCCTCCTAAGACCAGAGCCCCTGATGAAGAGGGCCCAGCCAATTCTTTCCTGTGACAGTGCCCTCTTCCACCCTGCTGTAAGGTGGCCTTTGGGAACCAGCCCGGTAGCAATTCCCTATTGGGCAGAATGGTAGATCTCTGCCCCAGGGAGCGAAGACTCATGGTGCCCATCAGGTACCCAGAGTTCCACGGAAACAGCACCTACGTGTTGCAGATCTGCAATCTGCAGACATGGCTCAAGAATCTGCCACACCCACTCCCTCTTAATAATCAACCTGTATTCTCCAAACTTCTTTCAGAGTGGCAGCATGAGGGGGCGGAGGCTTGGCCAGGAGGCAGCTGGAAGGTCGGGATTCCTGCAAATATGTGTGGGTGGGAAGGATATGGGGGAGGTGACAGAGCAGGGAATCTCTTTCAGCATTGGTGAAGGAGAGGGATTTGGAGGACAGTGTCTTCCCCAAGAAAATAAGTAGTGAGCGACTTACTTTATTCTAAAGATTTCATAGTGTTTTTCACTCTCTGGGAAAACATTACCTTCTCCTTATCCCAGGATTGCTATTCCCCATACCCACTGATAGGAAGGAAAATTGGGGCACAGAGGCAGGGGGAATGTGCCTTGTCAAGTCTCTCCAGATCCCTCTACCCATCATCAAGGAGATGGGCAAAGTCTCTGGACCACACAGCCATAAATGAAATGACACACCCGTTAATTCAGGCTTCAATGGGGTCAGATTTGCCCAGACAGACAGGTCTACTGGAGTCAAGTGAGTTAATTGTGCAAACAAACCTCACTTCTATCCCACTCCTTCCCTTAGTGGCTGTTGATGTCCTGTTTGAAAATGAGTCTCAGCTGGGGGGGGCAGGGCAGGTAGGGGGTGGGACAGACCCCAAGCTTGAAGGCACTTCAGCTTCCTACATCCGGGACTTGAACATAGAAAGTAGTTTTTCTGAGAGCAGCTGTGGGTATGGTGGAACTGGAAGCTAGGCTGAAAGGCTGGAGCTCTGAGTTCCAGTCCCTGCTCTGCCACTGACTAGCTGTGTGTCCCAGGCTGTGGTACATCTCCTAACTGGCTGCCCGTGTCTCATCTACAAAGTGAGGGTGAGGTGGGGTTTTTTGTTTGTTTGTTTTGTTTTATTTTGGTACTGGATATTGAACCCAGGGGTGCTTAACACTGAGCCACATCCCCAGCCCTTTTAAATACTTTATTTAGAGACAGGGTCTCACTGAGTTGCTTAGGTCCTCACTAAGTTGCTGAGGCTGACTTTGAACTCATAATCCTCCTGCCTCAGCTTCCAGAGCTGCTAGGATCACAGGCGTGCACCACCACGCCCAGCTCAAATTGTGTTTTCTTAAACTGTGTTCCACAGATGATTCTAGAGGTGCTTTGAGTCTACCCCAGAGAGTGGAAACCAGGTGGTAGGGCACTATCAGCGTCTCCACAGTAGTGTGTGTTTGGTGCATTGAACATGCCTTTGCTATATTGTTTGAAGAGTTCTGATAAAAAATTGTTTGAACCTCTTTGAATTTGATCTCTCCAGGAGCCGACATGCTCCCCCTGCCAACCAACCTGCTGTCTCAGATGCAATGCTAGCCAAGCAGCCTTGGTCAGGATGAGCATCCCCTGAGCATACAGGCCTTTGGACAAGAAGGGACAAACACTGGGGGCTCTGCCACTTCTGTAAGGACACTTGATAAGCTGTCCTTTCCCAGCTTCAACCCCCAAACCCACTCTTAGGGTCTGAGGCACTCAGATTGAGGGGAGTAAGGGCTGGGCATATTCTGAAAGTCTGTGCGGCCAGACTGGATGTTCTGCCTTCCTGGGAAATGTAACCCACACCTAACTCCACAGGCTCTTGCCCTCCTGAAAGTGAGGTAACCTTGGCCCCAAGATCAAATGCCACAGGGAGTCTACATCCTGTACCCATGTTCCTGCTCCCACCTGGAGGCTCTAAACCCAGACTCCCTGAATGTAAATTGCTAGCTGGCTGGTGTAGGTGTCTCTGTTGCACTAGCAGAGGGGGGACTCAGTTCATTCCTCAGTCTCCTCTACCCTTTCCCACTGCCACACATGAACCCCAGCCTCTGGTACCAGGTGGTCATGGGTCTAGCAGGCTGAGCTGAAGGGCAGGTTTGGCACCAAGGAGGAAGAGGAACATTATGTTATAGAGGTGTAAACACCCTCATGCTGAGTCTTAGCTGCCTTGTTTCTCAAGCCCACTGTGTCCACCACCCTCTCTTGACCCTGTAGGACTCTTGCATCTTCTTGGGATCCTCCTCTGCACCTCCCCCCATTATTCCTCTACCCCATTGCCCTTCAACTTTTGCCCCAACATCAAATTTCTCTCACTCTTGTTATACAAAGTCCCTCCCAGATCCTACTCCCAAATTGGGCATTTGCATCTCGAAACCACAAGGAGCTCATCCAGTGGACTGACCTTTCTAACAGGACCCTCCCAACTGGGAAGGTGCTTGCATGTTCCTCGGCTCCAGGTGGATCTCGCAGGAACCCAATGTTAACCATAAAGCTCTGGTTGAGACCTTATTGAATTCAGAGCACAAGGGTGGGAGAAAGGAGGACCGAACTTAAGAAAATCCCTTCTGGGGGCTGGGGCTGTAGCTCAGTGGCAGAGCGCTTGCTTAGCATATGTGAGGGACTGGGTTCGATCCTCAGCACCACATGAAAATAAATACATAAGATAAAGGCATTATGTCCATTTACAACTACAAAAAAATTAAAAAATAATAAAATAAAACCCCTCCTGGTTCCCCAGTTTACGCTAGATGGCTTCTATGTTCATCCTGTCAACCAAACTAGAATCCTGTGTGTCTCCCCAGATTCACATCACCTGCCCTGGTCTAATTGTTCAACAAGCCCTGCTAGTTTTTATCTCCTGTTAACTCTAAGTTGTCTCTTTACGTGGCCATGGTCTCCTCAAGACCCCACCCCACCCCACCCCACCCATGTCTAACACTACAATTTAACCTCACAGTACTTGCTTAAAACCCACTGCCAGCTTCCCTGTCGGCAAGAAGTCCCACTCTGCTCTGAGTCTCTGACCTTAGCTCCCTCCTTAGCGGCCCCACCCCCGCACACTGGCCACCCCTTTTGGACTTATCTGCCTATAATACCAGACATGTTTTGATGACCTGGATCACACTAGTTTCTGCTTATTCCCTTCTTTTCTGTCTGGACTCTCTCTCCCCACTCTACTTCCTCCCAAATTCCTAAGATATTTATATTTACTCATCAGAACCCTGCTCAGTTATGAAAGCCTCTCAGAGAACTCCCCTGGCTGGGCCCCTAAACCATTCAGTCCCCCTGCTGGGCACTCTTCCTGTACCCTGATACAAACAGACTCTGATGCCACATATTTTGGTGCTTGACAATGTCACAGTGATCCTCCCGGTGCTCTGTATTAAAGCAGTGTACCCTGCTGTTTTACAATGTTGCCCTACATCCTTTACAAGTTTCCTAGCGTTTACCAGCTGTGTGATCTGGGGCATATTACTTAATTTCTCTGCGCTCTAGATTCCTCACCTAACTCTTGTAAGGAGTGAGTGAATTAACACCCATATGGAGCTTGATAGACATTAGTTATTTTTTAGATTATTGATTTCTATGTTCTCTCTCCTCATTTATTTCTTAGCTCCTTGAGGATAGGGATTCATTTGTCACAGGGTATAGCATAGCACCTGCCCATCGAGGTGATTCCTTAATGCTCTGTGAGCTGAGCTGAGCAGGAGTTTGCAGTTCCTTTGCCAAGATCAGCTCTAGGGATACATGTGAACAATTCCGGGTCATAAGTGATGAGGAAGCCTAGGGCACAGGCAGTTGAGCGCTTGGGCTTGGTCAGCAGAGACAACTAACTGGGTTCTAAGTTTGCCACTTACTAGTGGCTCAATCTCTCTGTGCCTCAGTGAAATAGAAACAACACACCTCCATCCCTTACAGTTTTGGTGAGAAATCTAAATAAGAGAATATCAATGCTGGGCACGGTGGCACACACCTGTAATCCCAGCGGCTTGGGCAGCTGAGGCAGGAGGATCCAGAGTTCGAAGCCAGCCTCAGCAACTTAGCAAGGCCCAAAGCAACTCAATGAGACACTGTCTCAAAATAAACTATAAAAAAGGGCTGGGGATGTGGCTCAGGGGTTAAATGCCCCTAAGTTCAATCCTTGGTACCAAAAAAAAGGAACATCAATAAAACAACTGGCAAAGTGAGCATCTTGCTGCCTTCTAAATGTTCCTTAATCTATAGGTAAAAATTCTGTTCTTTAAGACCGAGAGAGGAGGCAGCCATGCTGACACACCCTTATCCACATTCACTGGGCTCCCCACAACCCAAAGGGGCAGGTGGGGAGGGTCCTAAGGACTAGGGTGGGCAGACAAGCCTCCCTCCAGCAGGGCTGTGTGAGCACAAATGGGAGAGGAGGTCAGAGGGGGACCCCAGCAGGAACCTCAGAAAATAAACACTAATAGTCATAAGAAAAGTAAACACGTCCTGAATCTTTCCACGGTCTTCTAAGCCTTTGTGTGACTTTACTTACCCTCGAGCTGCACTCAAGGGAACCGAGGCCTGAGTTTAGGATAGCTGCACACTCCCATCTTCTCGATCTTTTCTTGCCTTCTAATCATGCATGGCGGCAACTCTTACCATGTCCCCTTTTCTTTGCCCCCTCCCCCAAATCTGTCCTTGACACCACAGCCAGGTAAGCCTTTTGTACATCAGGCCACGTCATTTCTGCTCAAAGCCCTCCATGACTCAGAGAAAAACACAGCCTCTACCAAGTAGCCCTGTGACCTTCAGCAAGTCATGTCACCTCTCTGTTTAAAATGCAGGGAGCACCTGTTTCCTAGGGTAATTGTGAGTGTTCAAGGAGTTAACAGAGGTAATTGCTCACAGGAAAGCATGATTTGTGGTAAGAGCCAAAGAAATGTAGGCTCACTCCTTAGTCTCAGTACCAGAGCCACAGGGCCTTACAAGACCTGGCCCAGCCATTTTTGGTCTTGCTCCCTCTGCTTCAGCCTTGCAGTTCCTGCCAGAGCCAGGCATGCTCCTGCCTCAGGACCTTGCATCTGCAGGTCTTCTGCCTGGAGCACCTCCCGTCTTCCCTCACCTTCTTCATTAACCTTCTTCTGCCTACCTGCTTAGTATAACCCCTGCCCCACCCCATTACCCAGCAGAGTCGGGTTCTGGGAGGACCTCTTTCTGTTTCCCAGAGGGCCAACTCTCTGCACAGGGCAGTGGGGAGGGGAAATTGAGAAAGAGGGAGGAAGAGAGCCTGAGACAGAGAGGGAGGGAGAAAGGGAAAGGGAGAGGGAGAGGGCCAGAGAAAAATAAGGAGAGAACCTTCCTCTTTTTGTCAAGGCTCAGGCCTAGAGGAACAGGGCCCCTCCCTCTTAGCACATTTAACCTTAATTACCTTCCCACCTCAGATACAGTCACATTTGGGGTTAGGGCTTCAATGTGAATTGTGGGGTCAGGCAGCACACAGCAATATTTCAGAAGCTGTTGAGAGGGATAGAGGCAGCTTGTGCTGCTTGTCTCACCTTATATGGGGAGGTACATATTCATGCCAGGTGTCCTGGGTCCTCGCCAACTGGCAGAGTGATGAGCATGGGCTCATTTGGTTTCCCAATGATCACATAAGGTCAGTGTTCTCGCCCCAGCTCTATAGACAAAGAAACTAAGACTCAGAGCTGTGCTACCTCCCCAAGGGTCTCCCAACCCACCTGGAAAAGGGCAGGTCTGTTGCTTGCTGAAGCCCATGTTCTCACCTACTCTGTGAGGTCCCTTGGAAAAAGCAGGGCACACACACTTCAGTCCATGGGACAGAAGTGGTGTGGCCCCACCCTCCAGGAAACTAGCAGCCCTCTCTGGACAAGCAGAGCATGTAGGCTGTGGCAGTGGGTGCCGAGTGCCAAGTACCCTGCAAGTGCAGGAGGGGCCCAGACGTCAGCATTGGGTGAGGAGCATGCAGCCAGATGAAGAGCGGACGGAGGGCATTTTGGGTAGAGCAGCATGATCTCTGTTTGCAGGGTCATGCAAGGAGCGGGGAGGTAGCGGGCTCCAGACTCCCCTGGAGCACAGAGACACTGAAGGGTAGAAGTGGTGGGAGAGCTGAGCACGGGCAGAGTCAGCTGTGGGAGGCCCAGAAGGTCACTGAAGTTCTGCAGTGGCTCTTGGTAAGGAGGGCAGGGAGGTTCTGATTTTTATTTTCATTGTATTTTCCCTGGCCAATGTCATGCCATTGATGCTGTGTCTCTGAATGCACAGCAGCTGAGAGTCATACTGTTGGCTACTGGGAGTCCATCTTAGCAGTCCAACATACCCCTGCTTTGAACTCTCCTCCATGCACACACCCACACACACACTCAACAACTCAGAATCTTCCCTACTTTCTGCTCATATCGTATCGCTACAACAGTGGCCCTGGAGGAAGGAGCCAGCACTTGGGGTGTCTCTGAGCCTCAGGAGCTTTGAGGCCAAACTGGATCTTCCCCTGTGGGGCATTTGGTGTCTTATCAAAGTTAGTTTCAATCATTAGTTTTATAAGAGTCCCCAGGACAGGGCCCTGGGGGTTGGCATTGAGGATGCACCTCCTCAAAATTCAGAAAGCATCAAGGTCCAGGGATCCTAAGTCCCAGAAGGAGGCTGTGGAGCAGTCTGAGACAAAAGGGAATACAGGTGTCCCACTGAGGGTGTCAGGCGCTGCAGATGTGGCCCCGACAACCTGTACCCATTCCCTTTGGTTGCACGCTCTCAAGATTACACCAGAAGACTCACCTTGGAGTCATGTGTCTTTTTATCCTCCTCCTATCCTACCTGGAGGAGACTCTAAGTAACTGGAGATGATAGTTCAAGGGGTGCAGGAACCTGAGGGGGAAGGACTTCAGGTGTCCTGCTGTACCTAGGATGGTGGGATGAGGGGATAGAGGCAGCCAGCCCTGAGGAGCAGAGGGAGGGCAATTTGGGTGAAGCAGCATGACCTCCATAATTAGGGTCATGCAAGGAGCATAAGCTGGTGGCCCCATGGGCTCCTCTGTGAGTCCAGGGCTACAAAGGCACTCTTGTTGTCTCCCAGGGCCTAACTCTTTCTCCCCTTCCTTCCCCCTCACCGCTGTAGGTTTTTCATTATCAAAGAGAGCTTTCTGCTTTACTACTCTGAGAGTGAAAAAAAGAGCTTTGAAACCAACAAATACTTCAATATACATCCTAAGGTGAGGTGGTCCCTCCCCAGGGCCACAGTGGGGGAGGGTCCCAAGGAGATGTCAGGGGATGTTGGAGGGCTGTCCTTTGTCTTGCAGTGGTCTAGCAGGGAGTCTGGAAAGCAAATTTTCTCTCAGGGCACAAGACCCCCTTCCCTGCCCCCCAGGCTCGACCCCAACTTTCCTGTACCCTGGAGCCTGCCCCAGCCCTTCTTCTTCCCTCTGAGAGTCAGTTCTGGCCTCTGTCCAGCAGCTACAAGGTCAGGTTCAGTAGCCCCAAGGTCAGGTCCACCCTGGAGGTCTTGGCAGAGCCTGGCTTTATCCCCAGAGGCCCCAAGTGACCTGAGCTGGGTGGGTGGGGCTGCCTGTTCTGGTTCTTCCACAGGGTGTCATACCCCTTGGGGGCTGCCTGGTGGAGGCCAAGGAAGAGCCCAGCATGCCCTATGTCATGAAGATCTCCCATCAGGACTTCCATGTAAGTGAAGCTCTCCCCTCGGCCTGGGAAAATCAGCCTGGCCCAGGGAGGTGTCCATGCCCAGGACTGTGTTGTAGGGGAGCAGAGTGGGCCTCCATGACCCTCCAAGGGGCCATCTCTCAGCACACCCATGGCTCCTCTTCCTGGCAGGGGAATGTCTTGCTGGCTGCCGAGTCCGAGTTTGAACAGACGCAGTGGCTGGAGATGCTCCAGGAGTCTGGAAAGGTGTAAGTGCTCGCAGCCAGAAGGGCATCTGGGGCTCCAGACTCGGGGGGCGGGGGACAGGCTGGGCCTGTCTCTGACTGTCTGCTGGGATCCTCGTGGACACTGAGAGGGCTGTAGGAGTTGGCTAGGATGGGTGAGAGGAGGCAGCCAGCTCTTAGAGCATCTCTGAGGGTCCCCCAAGTGAGCTTGGAAAGTATTTACGGTCACAGGTAGCACACATGAACACTGTGTGTCTCCAGCTCTTGGAAGTGAATCCAGCATCAATCACTCATTGTATTTGGTACTTGCTAATGTCGATCTCACCTCCTCCTATCAAGGACCAGAGTGAGTGCCCAACAATGTCCAATTGCACATAAATCCCTGTCCTAGCACCTGCCTATTTGAGCTGGATCACACTGTTGATCCAATAAACAATACTTGAGTCCCACCCTGCATGTGGCCTCGTGCTTGGTGACGGGTACTCAGGGGATAGGAAGCTGCCTGGGAAGAAATCTCTTCCCTGCTCTGAAAGTGCTCTTGGTCCCTGGTGGCCCACTTTGCAGCCTGGGCCAGTCTCCAGTTACTGTAAATGATCCATACTGGTGGCATGCCCAGAGCCCTAGGTGCTAGAGTGACAGTCAGCTGAGTTTCTGGATAGGCGAGTACAAAACACGCACTTGCTCTTTCTCCTAGATCCTCGTGGTCTAACGATCTTATTTCTTCCTCTTCTCTCCTCTGTGCCATCTGCCCTCACTCCCAGGACCTGGAAGAATGCCCAGCTGGGAGAAGCCATGATCAAAAGCCTGGAGGCCCAGGGGCTGCAGTTGGCTAAGGAAAAGCAAGAGTATTTAGGTTGGCTGGAGGGGTGGACTGGAACCTGAGGTTTCCTAGTGGGAGCACTTGGGGGCCTAAGCTATAGCCAGGGGCTTGGTGGAGGACCCAGGGTGGGTGTCCAGGTGGGACTCAGCAGGCCATGAGGAACCAGAGACCAGCTCCACACCTGGAGGGCTTTATGGAGAGACAAATGTCCTTCTGGCCAGTATGGCTGGAGGGAGAACAGCCTGGTGGCCAGGAGTCGGGGGTCTGCACCTGGCCTTATCTTCTCCCTACCAGCTCTCTGTGTCTTTAGGTGGCTCGTCTCTCTAAACCTCAGTTTCCTCCTCCTTAAGATGGAGTTAAGGATAGTCCCCAGCTTTCAGAGGTGGTATGGAGATCGGGTTCATTGGTCCCATGAGAAAATGCTGCAGGTGCTCATGTAGGGCTTGCAGTGAGGGCTCCTTAAATGAAGACGCAGTTATCCTACCCTGGGCACCTGAGTCCCACATTTCACCCCAAACCCTCCCCACGCCAAGACCACCTTGAACTTGGCCACAGGGCTCCAGGCCCCTATGCCGAGAGAGAAGATGGGCAGACTTGGGGCTCAATGCTTTGCCTGGGACCCCTCCCCTTCTGCCCGCTTAGGCACTTGGGCCCCAGCATGGTTCCCCTTCCCACTAAGATTCTGCCCTCCCCACTAGCCGGACACCAGTGCAGGCAGTGGGGGGCGGGGGTGGAGCTGAGGACCAGCCCAGCCACAGCAGCCCTGGGGGATGCATGGGACTCACCTGAGCTCCCAAGGACAAGGCCCTGTCATGGCCCTGTGAATGCATGAAGCAGGAATGATACCCAGAAAGGAGGGAAGCGGGACCAGTCCTTGGCTAGCAGGGGTGCTGACCTCTTCCTGGGGAGATGCTGGGGATGATGGAGACCACCCTGGGCACCTGCCTCAGGACTTCTACTGTGAGAAAGCAGTCTATAAGGGTGTGCTTGCCTTGACAGACAAACTGATGGAAGAGACAGAAGAACTCTGCCTTCAGCGGGAGCAGAGAGAGGTAGGTGCACAGGGAGGCCACTGTCACTCTGTCACTGCCTCCCCTTAACACTTAACAGCCTCACTTGCTGTCTCCCAACACGTGCTTCCAGCATTAGGAAGAGACGTGGGGGGCTGGGCACCCAGCGACTGGCTGGAACATCAGACGGGGCGGGGCCAGGAGCCCAGTGCAATGACAGTGCTTGCAACTGCTATAGATTTTGGCAGGAAGTGCATTTCTCCTTGCCAACCCTCCAAAGGAAAGTAAAAAGGGAAGGTAACCATCTTCTAGGGAAGAAGTTCTCCAAAAATTTTATAAGCGGCTTGTCACAGAGATTCCCAGGAGGCTGTAATGGCCTGAATCATCTATCAGGGGTTTCTGGCACTGTAAGGGTGATGGGATTTGATGATCTCAGAGGTTCCTTCATTCTCTGCCAACAATACAAGTCCTGAGCAGGTTCATTGCTGACTTGAAGCTGCCTGTGGTTCAGGAGACTCTTGGCCTCATGGGAGCCACTGAAGTTCGCTTCATTTGAAACCTCTAGGCAGCACTGAGCCTCACCTATCCTGAGGAGTCTTTCTGACACCCGAAAGGCAGGGGGTGAGTACTAGTTGGCAGTACAGAATCCAGAGCCAGGCTATCTGTATTTGTATCTGCCCATCACACTTGTGGCTGTGTGACCTCAGACAAATTATTTAACCTCTTTGAACATCAATATTCTCATCTGAAAAATGACAATGATAATAGAACCCATCTTATTAAGGATGCTGTAAAGATTAAAGGTGTTACCTATACCGCGATCGGCACATAAGACATGTTTATTGAATGTTTGTTGATATGCTCATGTTGTTATTAATTATGGGCCCACCCCACATGTGAACTGCCTGAGGCAGAAGCTATCGAGTGGCTTGTACAGAGGAGCCCACAGAGAGAGGCACCATTGATTCTACTTCTCTTTGCCTTGTCACTTTTCCTCGCTCCCAGGCCAGTTGTGGAGCTTGGCACTGTGGGATGAATCAATGGGTGAATAACTTTGTTCTCCCGACTTTACATCTTGATTTTAATCCAGTAGGACAGTCCACCTTCATTTTTCTTCTTCCAAAAATTTGTCAGTTTTTCGTGCCCATTTATTCATCCAACTGGACTTAAGAGCCATTTTGTTGGTTACAAAACAAACAGAAAAATCCACAGAGGATTTGTACTTAGAGGTACGGATTTGAGGACTGTCATGTTGACTACAATGTCTCTTCCACCCCCCCAAGGGTGGGGGCCTCTGTATCCCAGGCTTTCATCTAGATTTCATTAGAATGTTGGTATTTTCTCCATTCAGTCCCACACCTTTTAAGTGGGAATTTGGTGTGTTGATGTCAGCACCTTGAAGACAGGTGAGCTGGGTGTGGTGGCTCACACCTGTAATCCTAAGTACACGGGAGCTGAGGCAGGAGGGTTGCCTGTTGAAGGTTCTGTCTCAAAAAACAAAACACAACAAAATGTGATTTAGGAAGCCTGGGGTGGGGTGGGGTGACAGGCACGGCCTCCGGCAGGGAGAAGAGACTTATCCATCAGAGAGGCTAAATCTGGGGCAGCAGTCGGCCGGAGGAAAATTTAGACACTCTATCTAGGTCTTTAGCCAGGAAATTAGGACAGCGGGGACCCACTGCACACAGGCCTCACTGGGTGCCACAGCACACTGGAGGAAGGAGGCTGTCGGCAGTGAACTCTCTTTTTGGCGCACATGGGTGTAAGCCAGACCCGCTGGTGCCCACAGGAGAGGCTGCTCAGGCGGGCAGGGGAGAAAGAACTAGGAGAGCTGGATTCCTTGTCCGCAGCATGTCTAGAGAGGAATAGGATTCAGATTCTATTCCTGGCTTAACCACTGAGTCATTCTGTCCAAGTTTTTCTCTACTTTCTCATCTATAGGATGAGTCTGCCTGTCCCCTCTTCCTTCCCCATTTCATGGCAGGTCAGAGATTGGGGTGTGCTTTGGGCCACATAGAAAGGCCTTTGGTACAATGGCCCAGTGATAAGACGAAGGTTCTTCTGATTTGTGACATCTCAGGGGACAGCCTGCTCAAAAGGAAGTCTCAGGGTCTGGATTCAAGAGACCTGGATGAGAATCTCAGCTTTATGACTGACAGTGTGAACTTGGGAATGTCAGTCGAAGCCTCTGATCTTCAGATTATCCATTTGAGATGTCTGATAAAAGAAATGCCAGCTCCTACCTTCCTCCCAGGTTGCAGTGAGGCTCAAGGGAACAGAATGTAGGTGCTTTGTGGAATGGAAAGGCCCAGTGTATGATGGCGGAGTCTGGCACCCTCCATGTACAGAAAGGTGGGAGGACCACGAGTTCAAAGCCAGCCTCGGCAAAGTGAGGCACTAAGCAACTAAGTGAGACCCTGTCTCCAAATAAAATACAAAATAGGGCTGGGGATGTGGCTCAGTGGTTAAGTGCCCCTGGGTTCAATCCCTGGTAATAAAAAAAAAAAAAAAAGTCATAGGTGAAATTAAAGTATAAAAGAACAGAGCAAGCAGGCAGCTTGGGGTTCACAGCAAAATTGGATAGAAAGTATGGAGTCCTGCTGCCCCCACCTCCCCCTCTCTCCATGTCCCACACCACGGTGACAGTCATGTTACGATTGAGGGTCCTACACTGACACGACATTATCACCCAAAATTCATACTTTACATTAGGGTTCACACTTTTTTTGGGGGGTGGGTACTGGGGATTGAACTCAGGGGCATTTGACCACTGTGCCACATCCCCAGCCCTATTTTGTATTTTATTTAGAGACAGGGTCTCACTGAGTTACTTACCAGCTCATCTTTGCTGAGGCTGGCTTTGAACTCACGATCCTCCTGTCTCAGCTTCCTGAGCTGTTGATTACAGGCATGCACCACCATGACCAATCATGTCAATGGACCTTCATTTTATTTATTTATATGAAGTGCTGAGAATCAAACCCAGTGCCTCACACATGCCAGGCAAGTGCTCTACCACTGAGTTACAGCCCCAGCCCTAGGGTTCACTCTTGGTGTTGTACATTCTGTGGATTTTGACAAATATGTAATGTCATGTATCCACCATTGTAACATCATATAGAATAGTTTTGATGCCCTAAACATCCTCCATGCTCCAGATATTCATCTCTCCCTCCCCAATAACCCCTGGCAATCACTCATCTTTTTACTGTCTCCATAGTTTTGCCTTCTCCAGAATGTCATACACTTGGAATTATATTCTATGTTGTTTTTTCAGATTGGCTTCTTTCATTTAGTAATATGCATTTAAGTTTCCTTCATGTCTTTTTATGGTTTGATAGCTCATTTCTTTTTAGTGCTGAATAATATTGTCTAAAGGACATCTCAGTTGCTTCCAAGTTTTGGCAATTATGAATAAAGCTGCTATAAACATCCATGCATAGGTTTTCTTGTGGACATACATTTTCAGCTCATTTGAATGAGTAACAAGGCGTGTGATTGCTGGATCATATGGAAAGAGTATGTAAGTTTTGTAAGAAGCGGCTAAACTGTCTTCCAAAGTGGCTGTGCCATTTGGCATTTCCATCAGAAGTGAATGAGAGTTCCTGTTGCTCCACACTTTGGCTAGTGTTCGGTGTTGCCAGTGTTTTGGATTGTGGCCATTCTCATAGATGTGTTGTGTTATTTCATTGTTGTTTGAATTTGCATTTACCTAATGACACAATAATGTTGAACATCTTTGCATATGCTGATTTGCCATCTGTAGATCTTCTTTGGTGTCAGTTAAGGTCTTTTGCTCATTTAAAAGAAATGGGTTATTCATTTTCATATTAAGGTTTTTTAAAAACTATTTTTAATTGTAGATGAACACAATACCTTTATTTTATTTATTTATTTTTATGCAGTGCTGAGGATTGAACCCAGTACCTCACACGTGCAAGGCAAGCATTCTACCACTGAGCCACAACCCCAGACCTTCATATTGAGTTTTAAGAGTTCTTTAAGTATTTTGAGTAACAGTCATTTATCAGATGTGTTTGCAAATATTTTCTCCCACTCTGTGACTTGTCTTCTAAAAATCGTACAACCACTTTGGAAGATGGTTTGGCAGATTCTTACAAAACTGATATCCTTTTTCCTTATCATCCAGCAATCATATTTCTTGACATTATCTTTCACAGAGCAGGAATTTGTAATTTTAATGAAATCCAGCTCACTATTTATTTCATGAATTATGCCTTTGATGTTGTATCTAAAAACTCATTGCTAAACTCAAGGTCATCCAGATTTTCACCTATGCTGTCTTTTAGAAGTTTTATACTTTTATTAATTTTTGTAAAAGATTTAAAGGTTATTTTCTTTTTTTAATTTCTTGTTTCTTTCTTACCTTTTTTTTTTTTTTTTTTTTTGCATGTGTATGTCCAGTTGTTGCGGTGACATTTATTGAAAAGACTGTCTTTGCTCCGTTATATTACTTTTGCTCCTTTGTCATAGATAAGTTGACAATATTTATATGGGCCTATTTCTAGTCTCTTTATTCTGATCTATTGATTTGCCTATTTTTTTCCCAGTACCACATGGTTTTAGGTGTCATAGGTCTTCCAGTTCTTCTCTACTTTGTTCTCCTTCAATATTGAGTTGGGTATTCTGAGTCGCATACCTATTCATATAACATTTAGCATCAGTTTGCCAATATCCACAAAATGATGTGCTAATATTTTGATGGGATTGTGTTGAATCTATAGATCAAGTAGGGAAGAAATGACACATGACAATATAGAGTTTTCCTATCCATGAACATGGAATATCTCTCCATTCTTCTTCCATATTTTTCATTAGAGTTTTGTAGTTTTCCACATAAATCTTGTACATTTTTAAAATTTAGATCTAAGTATTTTATTTTTAGGGGATGCTAATATAAGTGGGTGTATATTTTTAATTTTAAATTCCACTTATTCACTATTGGTATATTGGAAAGCAATCGACTGTTTTCATTTTTTTGGTATAGGGAATTGAATCCAAGGCTTCATATGTGCTAGGCA